TGGACATTGACATTATGGGAGGGAGCTTAATGTTGTACATAACCTGGAAATGAGTATACTGAGATAGTAGGAACTGCAGATGCTGGAGAATCCGAGACAACAAGGTGCAGGGCTGGATGAACACAGCAGGCCAAGCAGCATCATAGGAGCAGAGAGGCTGACGTTTCGGGCCTAGACCCTTCATCAGAAAAATGACTATACTGACACTGGTTTTGGAACAAGTGATCCATTTCCCAGCACTAAGATGTTTCACCTTGATCTGTATAATTACATAAAGGTGAGGGGATTAAAAACAGCACTTTTAAATACATAAGATGTATTGGGGATTTAACATTTTTACAAAGAGTTCTTGGACACTTTGGAAATGGTCTTTTTCCCAGGGTAGGGGAGTCTAAAACTAGGGGCATGGATAGGGTGAATAGGCAAGGTCTTCTCCCTGGGGCTGGAGATTCCACAAGCAGAGGGCATTGGTTTAAGGTGAGAGGAGAAAAATTTAAAAGGGACCTAAGGGGCAACTTTTTCAGCAGAGGGTGGAGCGTGCATGGAATGAGCTGCCAGAGAAAGTGGTGGAGGCTGGTACAATTACAGCATTTAAAACGTATTTGGATGCGTATATGAATAGGAAGGGTTTACAGTGATATGGGCCAAATGTTCACAAATGGGATAAGGTTAATTTAGGTTATCTGGTCGGCATGAACGAAGAGTCTGTTTCCCTGTCGTATATCTCAATGACTGTGGCTATGTCTTTAACAAATCGTGCGTCTGAACTGAAGGACGATGCAGATTGAATACATTAGAAAGAGCTTGCTAACAGAGGTGACCACAAGCGTGCAAAAAATGCAACAGCTCTACCGGAAATCTACACGCAGCCCCAGCAGAGAAACCCATTACAGTACAGCAGGAAAGGTGACAGTAACTGGGGCACAGAGCTGCATGTCTGAGGGTGGAAAGCGTGTAATCATAATTTGCAGATTTCTTCTTCCTTTGGCTAGTGACTGTAAATTTAAAGTGCATCCACGCCCCGTCTCGCTCTCCGCAGTCACCAACAACAAAGAGAACACAACCAGGGACAAATTTCACCTTTGTGTTCCTTTTGTTATGCTCCTGTTTCTGCACCTCTCAAAATAATACGTGTGGCGGTCTAATTGGGAAACAAGTCGGAAAGGCTAGAATGTGTAGAAAGGGCCGAGAAGCCTACATAGGAATGTTGCAACATTCTGTGATTCGATTTTTTTTGTATGATGAGGGGTGAACAGAGATTGGGAACAGCTAAAGTATTGTCACTAAATATGTTGATAAATTACTTTTTTTTGGGCAAGATTGCAGGAATGCCAGAAGTTTTTTTTGATGAGACATCCCAGCGAAATCAGAACAATTCCCTTCGAAAAGGCATAAAAAAAACTGCAAATGGTGGAGCTCAGAATCAAACAGGGACGATCATGTCAACACGACAATATGACATGTCTGAAGGCTGAGAGGGGGAGAGAGAATAGATCATTGTTCAAACATACATCTTTACCCTACACGCACACACAACATACACAGACACACATACACAGTCACAGACAGACACACAGACACACACTGACACACACACACAGACACACCACACAAGATTTGACAGTGGAAAGATGAGCTAACATTTTAATATTATCACAATCAAATAAAAATGGGCGAACATTGAGATATAACTGTCTCGAACTTCTTCAGTTTAATTTCGTATCAAAACAGCTACTAGGTTGAGGAAAGGGTGTCCACTGTAGAAATTACTGGCGAACGACATTAACTGTCACCTTTTTCGCTTCGGTTTCCGTTTCCCACTTTTCAAACATCGAATCTCTGGGGTAGCAGAACACATAAAAATCTTTAGTTTCGCCCACAGGGGTATGGATAACGTATTTTCTTGTAGGGCTCTAATATGTGGCATTTTAACACAGCTCTGAAGCTGTTGATTTGAAACAATCACGGTGTTAGAAAGCACAAAGAGACCTTTAGGAGAGGCACTGACCATCAGCACAGAATGGGGCCGTTAAAATTGCAACGGTGGCAAGATATTACATAAATCCCTCTGCTGTATTGACCGGGATGCTGGACGCTATTGGATGTGTTGACGAAGATCTATTTATTTTAAAGTGGGTCACGATTAAAATAGTGGGCAGAGCAATTTAATGGTCTTATTAATAATCTTTCAGTGTTGTTAAATTTGCATTTCATTGCGAGTTCAGTTACAAACCAGAGGGTGGTTTAATGTCTAGGCTAAAGTTTAATTTGTTCTGTCCTCTTGTTTGTAACAATACGTCCATAGCTTTCTTGAAGATGTTGCACTGGTGACATAAGGCGGATCCAATCGCCATTAACCGAGCCAAGATTGCACATCTAATGGCGGAACTCTGAAGCAATTTCGAGCGAGCTGTCAAATCCCACCGTTTATACTACCTGAGGTCAACATCTCTCCGCGCCATCCACAGACTGTTAAGTGGGAGCTACAGGAGAAAGGTGAAAATACCGTTTTGATTCCCGGTAAGGAGGGTGGGTTTCATTGTTAGGGAGTATTCGGTGAGTCGGTGAGATCAAACAAAACTCCAATCTTGTATTTGCGATGCTTCATTGAATTTCTAAACTGCTTTAAATCGAAAAGGAGGGCCGGGGATCACTTCGAACTGAGATCCTCGGGCAAATTCAGCCCGGGCTGAGATGTTTTAATTCCATTTCTTATCCCGGACACACCTTACAGTAAACCTCAACTTAAAATAAAAGGTTCAGTAACTCTCTGAGCACAACGATCTGCAAACAAATATGTTTTGTTATCATAAACCCACACTTTCCGTTTGATCTTAATTAATATTATTTCCAGAAATTCACGCGTTCGATTTGCTCTGCAGTTTCAGAGAGAATGTAATAAATTAAATACGAAAAATTCCCCAATAGCAGTGTTGTAGCTGTGCTCACAATGGTGAGCTGTTTGTAGTGTTATAAAGATTTTATTTACATGTACATTATTTGCATCTAACCGCGGCCGAATATTGTAAAAAAACCTCTACAAAAAGTGTTCAAATATTTCAAAGCACGAACTGCCAGGAGCCAAGGGCGAACTCAGATGAGATAGACGGCAAAGAACAGAACACACGGGATAAGGTGAGCGTGTCACACCGGGGCTGGGTTTCCGGGTTTAGATTAACAGCACGCAGCGCTCCCATAGCGCCCTGGCTGCAGGTTCCCCGCTCGGACCAACTGGATGGTGTTGCACGAGGGTTGGGCGTGAGATGCTTCCTGTGAACTAGAGTGCGCCTGTCATTGAGAAGACCGACTACTGATCATCACACATTATAACAGAGTATGTCTGTTTGTGTCTGTGTGTGTGAGAGAGAGAGAGAGAGAGAGAGAAAGGGCGGGGTGGCGAGAGACCTCAGTGGGAAAGGAGAACATTTTGACCGATTGTACAGAAATCAAACATTAACGCTGTCTGTCGCTGTAGTATTACGAATATTTTGTGCTGAGAATGGCAATGTGGCGGATAATGTACAGACCTATACAACGATGATATAGTATAACGTATTTCTGATATTACAAATATTCTTTAAATATCTGACTCTCTATCTACCTATGTCTCTATTTACCTATGGATCTACCTACCTATATTTCTATCTACCTACCATCCACGGGGAGAGAGCAAGCTAATGTTTCGAGTTTGGATGACTCTTCATCAGAGCTGCAGGGAGACAGCTGCCCCCTCCACACTTCACTTCAGCTCTGATGAAGAGTCATCGAGACTTGAAACATTAGCTTGCTCTCTCGCCATGGATGCTGTCTGACCCGCTGTGATCTCCAGCATTTTTTTGGTTTTCAGTACAGATTCCAGCATCTGCAATAATTTGCTCCTACTCTCTAGCCACCTATAGATCCACCTATCTCTGTCTCTATCTACCTATATATCCACCTACCTATGTCTCTAAATACAAATAGATCCACCTGCTTATGTCTCTTATCTACCAATAGATCTACCTATCTGTCTCTATCTACCTATCGATCCATCTACCTATGTCCCTATACACCTTCATACCTACCTAATCACTTCCTTGTGAATCTATTTCTACTTATTTACCCTATTTTGAAGCTAGTTGTCTACGTACCTGTTATGCATCCGTCTATCTATGTATGTAACTAGCTATATATCTACGTAACTATCTATGCATCTGCCTATATATACCTATGTATTCACATATGTATCTATCTGTATACCTACTTATTATAGGTATCTATTAATGTGAATGTACACGTTTCACTGTATTTTATATTGAATACACGTGACAATAAAGGATATTCTATTCCATTTAGCTATGCGTGTACCCATTTATGCATCTACCTATATATACTCCACGTTTTATATAGGTATTCATTTAGCTATGTATGTATCTATGTTCCTATTTCAGCATCTACCTATATATACGCCTGTACATCTATTTCATGTATCCCTTTGTAATGTATCTATCTTTCTGTCCATCTCTCCAGTCACTCCATCAAGCTGGTGTGGGCTGGATCTATCACAAACAGACGGAGGGAGAGCTGCAGGTAACTGAGAGATCTCTGTCTGCACTGAGGTGTGGGGAATGTACTGGGCAGGGGAATCTTCTCTATCCCAATGCCAACTTCGAGCACGGGACTCCGCCTGTCCCGTCAGCACCTCCGCCTCAGCTACCAGCTCTCCCTGAGTGATTCTTTAGCCAGCTCTGGGGGGTGGTTGGGGGCTCTGTGAAATAGATAAGAACCGGCCCGGATTAGCGACTGTGTATCTTTAGAACTGAAAAAGGGGTTTCTCTCTTTCTCTTTCGGGGGGTCTCTTCCTTCTCCCCCCCCCCCCCCCCCTCACTAATTCTCTCCCTCTCTGTCTCTGTCTCTCTCTCTCTCTCTCTGCCTTCCGCAGGCTGTTGCTCTGAGGAGGAGGAGGCGCGGCACCTGGGAGAGGCTGCGCGCCCCCGGAACTGACGGGAGCGCGCCTGGAGATTCAAGCCAAAATTGAGACAGCTCAGGCGACGGGTGTGTGTGTAACATAGTCCCCACCCTCACACACACACACACACAAACACAACAAAAAAAAAATCCTGTCCTGTTCAAGAAAAGAAAAATGCCGGTTGGATTACTGGCCCCTTTTGTAAAATCCGCGACTGTACGCCCCAACATGCGCCCGCCAATATCTTCGCTACATTTGCCCCGAATCGTGTAACAGAGCGCTGAAAAATTCCGACAGTTACCTGGGCGTACTGTAACCTGCAGGAGTGAGCACATTGAGAGACAAAGGTAAGAGAAATGACATTTCTGCATGCAGAGTGAAACTGACCTGAACGGATTTAGATATTTCGATAGTCGGCTGGAGTTGAAATTTGGATTTTGCAGAAGGCGGGCTAGTGGATAAGATTCCCGCGGACCCCCCCCCCCCCCCCAGCGATCTAATCACCAGAAAGAGAACGAGTGGGGACTGCGAACAATTTTATTGCGTTCTCCGTCTACGTTTAGGCTCCGTTTCCACATATTCCCAAATATTGCCCTGTATCACATGCGCGCTACTAACCCTTTCATTCATGTTTTAAAATAATCCGTAACCCCACGCCCCAAATAATGTCCGGAACGAAATCTCGGCAAAGTGGAAGGAAATGGATTTAAAGGCGATTCAGAAATGATTCAGGACTCCATTCTGCAGTCTGTGCCAAATGACAATTTTTTTTTATTGCAAACCGTCTCCAAACGTGGTATAAATCTGTTTGTGTACATGTAAAAAATTTGGTTTGTAGATGGCCTCCCGTTTTCTCATTTAGTGCCATGTCAATCCTACAGTCTCCTGCCCATCTATATAAAATTGAACTGGTTGAAACCACGAGATTAAATATACATAGATACAAAAAAGTAACTAATTGTGAAATTCAAACACAGTAGAAACGAGAAGCTGGGGAAACATTTGGACTGATTCCGAATACTGACCATGAATGTTTAGGATGCGTCGGGATTCTATAATGACAGATGATGAAATATTTGTACTTTAAAACCAGTGTTGTAAGATCTTAATTCTAATGTAATTTAATGCAATTTCATTTCCTGATTCCGAAATTCGAAACTTGAGAACTTGCCACGATCTTTTTTACTGCGCTGTGTATTTTGGGAAGTTTATGTTAGATGGGGAAACGACTACAGATATTTGAAGCGTTTGAACTCCCCATTTAACCTTCCCGTCCTGGCCTAGCTTTTCAATCACAAACTAAATCAAAACGGATTTGACTGTAACACATTTGACCGGTACCCGTCTGAAACTATCTCCAAACTATAACGGCATCCTTTTCTTGTATCAGTGAAAATCAGATTGGCTTTTAATAAATCACTCTCCTCTCAGTTTTGTAACCAAAGACAGCAGCGAATAAATTTCTGACGCTTAACTGGTCGACAGGAGCATTTTACGTTTTTTAAGGAGATTCTGAATCCTATTTTTTTTTGTTTTCAGCATTTTACTTTTATTTAAACACTCACGTACACACACTCTCCATCCACCTCCACACATATACACACACTTTCTCCCCACCACCACACCCCAACCCCCACACACCCCTCCCCACCTCCCCCACCCGCACAAGCACAGAAAAGACAGACAGGATTCCTGCACGTGTGGTCTCTCTGCGTGTTTAGGGTTAGAACGGGACACCAGGTCGTGTTACTGGTCATGTGTGTGTATGTGTGTGTTTGTGTGTGTGTGTGTAATGAGATGTGTTTGCAGACTAAATCAGAGCATGTCTGGGTAACTGGCTTCTTAGTCACCGAGGCCGGCCGTCCCCCGGAGATTGTGTTCTGAGGGTATGGGAGGGTGTCCTAAAAATGATTCTGATTCGCTAAATGATGGGGAAAGGTTACTGGCCCCTGGGGCAGTGGATGACAGGGAGCGGGTTGGTACAAAGGACAAAGAGGTGGTTGGGGCTCAGGTGAGGGCCTGGTGGTCAGGAATAGCAAGGCTCCTTCACGGCAAGGTGAACTGCGATGTCAGGGAAGGGGGCTGGAAGTTGGTTCACTCTGGGCAAATTGGACACTTAGCTGAACAGGAAACATTTCCAGTAGGACAGGGCAGGGGGATTTACAAGCAGAGAGTGGAAAGCAAGGGGAGGGGAGTGATATTACAGGGGGAGTCGGAGTGGGATTAAAAGTGGAGAGGGAATGGAATGAATAAAAATGGGGAGTGGGGTGATAAAAGTGGGGGGGTGGTTATAAAGTGGGGAGTGGGAGCAGTATGGTAAGGGGAGCATGCGGGATTATAAAGGGGAGGGGTAACTGGAATCCTGGGGGAGAGGGGTTTGGGTGTGAGAGAAGAGGGAGAGAGAGGGAGGGAAGAGAGTATGGAGAGGATAGAGGGTGGGGGAGAGAAGGGAGATGGGATGCGTGGAGGAGGAAGAGGGGAGGGGTTGGGGAGGGGGAGGGAGAGGAGCGGGAGGGGAGGGGGACACGGGACAGGGAGAGGAATTTAAAGATGAGCGGTTGGGATTACTGAGAGAGAATGCGTGGGTTCACAAAATCTGGTCCCTGCTGGAAATGTGAAAGAGGAACCAACAAAAAAAAATGCACAAGATGAGGCAGCGCGTGTGGACAGAGAAACACAGTTTCCTGTTGGTGATGGTGAAGTGTGCGAGGCTGGGATTGGGGACGGGGTGGAATAGGAAGCTGTCTTGAAAGAGCTGGCACAGGCGCGAGTGGCCTCTATCCTGTCAGTAGAGTTAGAGCGCGGGGGAGGGGAGGCTGGTCTAGGGGATAGGGAAGCGGTGATGTGTAAAGTTTGCTTTGTAGTAACCTGTATTTGTACTCCACCCACCCTCTCCCCCACCCATCCCCTCCACTCCCTCTTTCCCCATGCCCCTCTTCCCTCCTTCACATCTCAATCCATCTCCAACCCCCTCTCTCCCACACCCTCCCTCTCCCCAAACTCCATCTCTTCCCACCCCTTCCCCTTCATCTCCCTCACCGCTTCCTCTCTTGCCACTCCTATCTCCCCACTCCCAATTCTCCATCTCCCCATCCCCATTATCCCCCTCACATCCCCATCTCCCTAACCCCTTCCCCATCTCTCCCCTGCCTTCCCCCTCCCTCTCTCCCCTCCCCGTCTCCATCTCCCCCTCCCTCTCACACCCCTCCCTTCCCCTTCTCCCACCTTTCTAACCCTCTCCTCACCCCACTCACCCCTCCCCACTCCTTCCCCCTCCCTCCCGCTCCTCTCCCTCCCTGTCCCCAACCCCTCCCCTCTTCCCCTCCACCCATCCCGTCTCCCTTCTCTCCCTTACCCTCTATCCTCTCCATACTCTCTCCCCTCCCTCTCTCTCCCTCTTCTCTCACACCCACACCCTCTCTCCGCCCCCAACCCCTCCATCTCTCCCACTCCTCCTCCCTCCCCCACTTTCTCCCCCCACCATCTCTCTTCCTCTCTGCCTCCTAAACCCTCTCTTCCTTCCCCCCCCC